GGGGCTGTCACAATACAAGAAATACAATAACACAGATTTTTTATTGTTCTGTATTAGAAAGTGTTTGCTTAGTTATTGCATTTTACACTTCAATAATTACAGTCTCTTAAAATTTTTGCCGTAACTTACCAATAGTAGCCGTTGCATTTTGGTGGCGCTGTAACGCAACTATGGGGTGTTTGCTGGCTAAATGCCGTCTCATATTTGATGTGGTCCCTCCTTGAAATGATAAAACAACCTTGCAGAGTTGACATTTTGCTCGTGATGGGCCTGTTATTTCAAAGTGCATCCAAATATCGCTTCTTCTGCGGCTACTATCCATTTTCTATAAAAAATATTTAAAACTTTCCGCCAAAAATGTGGTGTTACATAAATGTATTCCGTGTTAAAACCTACATTCCTGGTAAAAAAAAAAAAAGGTCATAACAATTATATTATATAAATAATAAATACAAACAACTTTGATATTTTTCACACATTCATTTTTTATTGATGACAATCATTGTAACGCCAATAATGTTCGAGGCGGCACTCCTGTTGTCCGACGAGAGAAACACAGCTGAACAAATAACTTAATAAATAGCCAATTATATTTTTCAATCTACCTCACATAATACATGTAGAGGGTTATTATTTTTTGTCAGATGGGGCAAAAGAAACTACTTTTTTCAACCCAGTTAGAGAACGAGAGTTACGAGACGAGTCGGTGTCCTGTCCTGTTGTTTCGACTCGCTTGATGCTGAGTGAGTGAGTCAGATCAGATGAACGATTCGTTCAGAGCTGAACGACTCGAAGGGGAGCGGGAAGGGGCTGATCCAGAACCACAGTGAGTCGTTCACTGCTCGTACGGCTCGTACTAGCAGGCAGGCAGGAAGGAGGACGTTACGGTGAAGTAGGTGGTTGTAAACAATAAGCTTTTGGTTTCTGTGCTCAAACGAGCTACAGTACACACACACACAGTCACACACGTAATATTAGAGTGTCATTCATTGTGGCTAGTAGAAAACGCAGTCTGGGGGTCGCAGTTTAGAAAGTGGTGGGCGGACGAGTTAGTGAACGAGTTAATGGAGGCGGGGAATCACGACTCCCGAGTCAGTAAAGTGAATCTCGAGTTTTGAACGATTCGTTCACGAATCGCACATCACTAGTTTATACACGGAGATATAGAAGAAGAAGAAGCGCTGTCAAAAGGCCATCTTTTTGTGCGGTGTACGTTTGTAGCAACCGCACAAATGGAGAGAAAGACAAGAGTTTCTTCCATGTTCCAACTGTGGTCTCATATAAAGGAGGGCGCTTTGAAAAAAAATCACTCGAATGAGGCGGGCGAGGTGGATTTAGGCGTTCCCAGATCAGCGCCCCCTGCAGGCCACCCGAATGCAACGCAGCCATTTTTCTTTTATTTCCAAAAATGCCCAAAATCAAGACTCTTTTGAGATATATTTTACATTGTTTTCAATGGCCGCAAAACTGAATTGTCCCACCTCTGCTCATTTGCCCCCTACTGGCCAGTTTAATGAAACCCAAGAATAGTCCATTAACCATGACGGACATTGTTCATTTCCAGAGACTGTTGTTAGATTGTAATATTCACTTGTTACTGGTGGATAACATTATATAATCCTTGTACACAATTGAAGTGAAGCTTACCACATCGTTCACTGATGGGAATGACGCCAGGAAAATGGCGCCGTGGCCAGAACTCTGGTTTGTACTGTCTTGCAGTTTTTACAAAGTGGTTTTACTGCAAATGGCAAATAAATTCTTGAATCTTGAATTGCGGTGAGACTATGTAGAATTAGGTCACGTTTACATGCAGTATACAATGTACTCTTCCTTGTATTCTGTGCCATTGCCTAAAATAAATGAAAGTATTTGAACCATAAATGAAAACAAGGTGAGGATTCGAACAAATCTCAAAGCACAATTTAAAATAAAAAAAGTAAATTAAAATAAATAATCAAGAGACTTCAGTTCTTTTCAGTTTAATAACCAACACGGCTATGTACAAGGCAAGCATCGTCATCCAACAAAGGAACGTACATTTTCAACGTGAGAGATTCCAAATGAGGAGGGAGACTGTGCAGACGGCCCTGGGTGCAGCGGCTTTTAAGAACACGATCCAACGGTGACGTCTAGTGTCGCGATTATCAAGGGCAGAATAGTTCATTTCATATCTACAGATTTAAAAAGAACGGAGCTGAGAGGAGTCTGCTCTGTGTCCTGGAGCCTTCGGTACTTCCTCCGTAATCAAGATGTGAAAGTGACAAGAGCGCACTGTTCTTCGTTTACCAATCATGTGGGACTTTAGGCACTCGTCTGGACTTAAAACTATTTTCTTGGAGAGTGGTGTAAAGTGGGTAAGAGAAGGCGTGGTCGGCGGCAGAACCTCGGAGGCCTCCTGGGGCCCATTCAAATCCACGCTCGAGGCTGTGGATGCTGCCAGAGGTCTGTGTGATTCCACCAAAATATAACAATTGATTCAAATAATATTGTCGTGACTGAAAGAACCAATCAGAGCTGGGATAAAACATGTATTATATATTGTGTACTTGCTGGAATCTACAGTACTCTGAACGAACGGTAGGGGGCAGCGTTACACCACGTATTGCTTCAAAAGAGCCAGTGTCTGGATGCATCTAGACACAGCTAACTTACTGTAGCTTCTCTATCAGAGGTACTCGAGTAGTTTTGTCGCATAAGAAACACATGGTGTCTTGTGAAAGTTGGCAATAAATCAGACCACAACTTGCCATATCTCCATCTTCTCAGAAACATGTTTTTTGTCCTACTGAGAGCTGATTGGCTGAGTGAGGGTGGCCCTTCATTTTTACACTTTTCTATCTGAAAAAGCTGATCAAAAGATGTAACAGAGACCAAAAACGCACGTGAAAAATGGTGAAGCAACTGTTTCAGAGCCAGAGACATGGACTTCATAAGTGCGGTTTGAAAGTTGGGTACCACAGCTTTTAGGTCTTTAGAAGATCCTCATTCTATTGCGGCACGTCCATGAGGTCTTGAAGTGTTGTTGGGTAAAAAAACACTGCAATGCTGACTTAATGCTTGAAAATATCTAAATGGTAGAATTTAGATAGTCACAGAGTGGGATTTTAATGAAGTAATTTAACTGGAGAAATCCCAAGAACTCATTTGAAGCCAATAATCTATAAATTTGTTTAGAAAAAAAGGCAGAAAAGATATTACATTATGGGCTGAGGATTCACCTGGCCTGACATAAGCGTTGTTTTTGATGAGGAACAATATTGAAACATGGTTAAAAGTTAAATGTAAATAAAAGTGTGTGTGTGTGTGTGTGTCTCCTTTCAGCCAGATTATTGGCAAAACTGTGGCGTACAGTAAACAGGAGCTAAGCATGTCTGGTACTGTCCTATACTACAGATGTCTCTCAAAACAAACTGAAGAAAGCAGTTTACACTTGCATGAGATTGTGAAGAGGCCTAAACTACAGACCCACCCAGGGCCGCTGTGTTCGCAGACTAAAAGAACCATTTACATCTGGGGATTATAAAAAAAAACAAAAAAAAAAAAAAAAAAAAAATCGAAAACAAAACAAAACATTTCAACTTGGGTGATAAAAGTAGAGGTCATCACTGCAGAACAACACAGAGCTTTACAAATGATGGCGTTAAAACTAATCTTTTAGAAAACCGTCAGAGTTGGGTCTGTACAGCGGTGTGGGGACAGGGGGCGCTGTCGTCACACACTGGGAGAGGGAGTGCGGGCGCATTGAGTCTCTGGAGGAGCAGAACGTGCGACATTACCTCTTCAGTCTGTTCTGTGGTCCGCCCTGGAGACACAGTGGACAAACCTGAATTAATAATTGCAAAGTTGGACAAGGAGGTTGACATTTATAGTTTGTTTTTTCTCTCAGAAAAATCTCAGTCTCCCTTGCTGTCTCCCTTGCTGTCTCCCTTGCTGTCTCCCTTGCTGTCTCCCTTGCTGTCTCCCTTGCTGTCTCTCTTGCTGTCTCTCTTGCTGTCTCTCTTGCTGTCTCTCTTGCTGTCTCTCTTGCTGTCTCTCTTGCTGTCTCTCTTGCTGTCTCTCTTGCTGTCTCTCTTGCTGTCTCTCTTGCTGTCTCTCTTGCTGTCTCTCTTGCTGTCTCTCTTGCTGTCTCTCTTGCTGTCTCTCTTGCTGTCTCTCTTGCTGTCTCTCTTGCTGTCTCTCTTGCTGTCTCTCTCTGTCTCTCTCTGTCTTTCTCTTGCCGTTTCTCTCCGTCTCTGTATCCCTCTGTCTCTCGTCATCTTTCTCCGTCTCTCTCCATCTGTCTCCATCTGTCTCCATCTGTCTCCATCTGTCTCCATCTGTCTCCATCTGTCTCCATCTGTCTCCATCTGTCTCCATCTGTCTCCGTCTGTCTCCGTCTGTCTCCGTCTTTCTCTGTCTCTGTCTTTCTCTGTCTCTGTCTTTCTCTGTCTCTGTCTTTCTCTGTCTCTGTCTTTCTCTGTCTCTGTCTTTCTCTGTCTCTGTCTTTCTCTGTCTCTGTCTTTCTCTGTCTCTTGCCGTTTCTCTCTCCCCGTCTCTGTCTCCCTCTGTCTCTCGTCATCTTTCTCCGTCTCTCTCCATCTCTCTCTCTCGGTGTGTGTGGAGGCTCTAGTCTAAATGTAACTTTGCTGCTCTGTGACAGTCAAAATGCATTGAATCTTGGTCCACTTTTAGCTCAGAATAGAACAGAGGAATGTGGACACAAACAGTTTCCTCCTCCTGGCAGATTCAAGTCTCATGTTTCTAAAGGGATATAGCATGTGGCCAAAGCTAGATCATAGGCTCTGGAAAAAATATCAGAAATGGTTTAGGATCCTGCAGATTTGTCTCAACAGCATAATCAGCAATTGCCGAAAAGTTACCTCAATGTTGTAGCTTTAAACAAATAGGAAAGTATTTGGTAAAAATATTGGACATCAAAGTTATTAAACAAAGATTGATGTATATTTTCTGATACAAACTGTGATATTTGTGATCGATCTGAAGCTGCTCACCGTGCATTAGCTCTCGTCATCAGAGAAGTGTGGTTTAGCGATGGCCATCTCCTCTTTGCTGCTGGCGATCATCTTACACTTCTGCAAACATAAGCACACCTTAAGCTGGACATACAGCACTGCAATTTTCAGGACAATTTTGCCACAGAAATGAAAAATATTAGTGTTGTCAAACGCTTGCTACATTGTATTGCTTAGTTTACTCGCAATATATCACACATTTTTCCATGCTCCAAATTCCCTTGAATTGGTTTAAAAACAGATATACAAACGTTATTGTCAATATTGCTGATTCTGGTTAAAATTGGGGGTAATCTGGAACTGGCTCAGCATCATTCTTAGTGGTTTTAAAAGGCACCGCGTCGCTGCTCATCGCTCACGTATTTTTGCTGCCCGTTGACAAGTGTCTGTCTGAAACAGAACTCTTGAGAGGCTCATATCTTAATATTGACTGTTTGGACGCTTTGAAGATCAAACCAGAGCTTAGACTCTAATCTATCCAGAGGCTGCAGGTCTCTGCTCTTTCTCAAATGCCCACCGCTGGGCAGAGGTGGAGATAAAATACTGTAACTCACGTAACTGACCTTTGTGTGAGTAAATATCACCCAGTTTTTGATTTGTAATGCCTCACATTACTGCGCTACAGTAAAAAGTAAAACATTACAGTAATTAAATGTAATACATTACTCCCAACACCGTTGTGTAACACTGTGTATAGAACTAATGAAGACATTAGAAAAGGCGACCCTTTTTTATTTTCATTCAAGTCTGATGTTTTTTTTAGAGTGTGTAATGATCACTTTAATGTCTGTCAATGGTCAATGGCTGTGACCTCTACACAGCGGCGCAGGAAGGTGAGGTGGGGCAGATTTCAGACACGTGCTCGTGGTAGAAACCTGGAGCATAACGCACGCTGACAGTGATGCTGCTTTCAGCCACAATACATACCTACATTAATCACGTGAATTAAAAAAATACACCGATAAAATGGGTTTATAGGGTTTGTGCCGTTTCAAGCTAAACCCCAGACCTTAAGTTTATACATTTATTGTCCAAGAATTCAGATGCTAATGCAGTTAGCTCTTGTTAGCTTACTCCATGACTGCTCTGAAAGTGCCACAAAAATGACCAAATTCTGATTTGCCCATTTTAAAACTTGAGGTGAGTTTTATTCAGAATGTAACATTCCTGGGAATAGGAACATTACAAAATAGTGTTGGTTCTAAACAAATCAAATGTGTGATTGAAGGAATGTGTGGTGGATTGTGTAATGACCTCGGTGAGTTCCTTGATGGTGTGCACGTTGGCGTGGTGGGTGACCTTCCTCTTGGCCTCCTCCACATGGTCTAGGTTAATGTTGGGGGCAGGGATGATGAGGTTGGGAGGGGGCTTGTTTGTGATGGTGGGAAGAGGAGCCAGGGGGGGCATAGCAGCCAGAGCCCCCATGTTACTGAGAGCTGCAGTCATGGTGGCGGCCGTCATGCTGGCCATTGCTGCACTCATGGTCATGTTGGACATGTTCGGCATGCCAGGCAGGTTTGGCATACCCATGGCAGCCATGTTGGGCATGCCCATGCCCATGCCCATTCCCATACCCATACCCATACCCATGCCCATGGGGAGGGGCAGAGGCAGAGACAGCGGGGTGGGCGTGGGAGTGGGCAGTGGCAGCTGGAGGATGGCTTTGGGGCGCAGACTCTCGGGAATAGGAACCCCCGCCTTCGCACACATGGCGGCGGCGTTGGCCTTTGCAATCTCCAACAACTGGTCCTTGTCTGAAATATACACAAACATCAACAATGACCCATATCACCACAGGAACTCTTCCGGCTTTGTGACATCACTACTTGACAGAATATTGACAATCTGTTCAGTTACCGGTGCTTGGTGCATATTTGGAGGAAACCGCAAAAAAAAGGAATTACAAAAAGCAAAAAATCATTTACTTTTTTTTATGTCCATATATTTATATTTTAATAACAGATCTAAGAGCTACACATTTACAGCTGAAAAAAAATAGCGTCTGACGTTTGTCTGATGAAAGAAGCTTCAAAAGTAAGTATCATTACTAATACACAAAGTTTGCAACCTTTGTAACTAAACCCCAGCAGGTGGATTGCATCAGTAAGGGTTATGGTTGTGCCTGGGGGGGTCCTAGACTTTGCTGAAAAGTCCTAGTGAGAACCCTGATCAGGTCGGTAAATTACTCGAGTTGGAAGTTGTAAAGGGACTATTCTAAAACAACAGAGGCCTCACCCAGATCAGTGAGGCGCGGCGGCGACTTGCTGTTGCTGCGGCGCCCTCTGGAGCCTGAGCGGCGCTGGTTGCGCAGGATGAGCACAGGGGAGTGGCTGGGCTCCCTCTTCCATCGGTCCCTCCTGTCTAAAGAGCCGCTGCGATAGGCCGGTCTCCTGGCCCGGCCCCTGGAGCGGGAGCGCCGCCTGCGGTCTGACGAGCGGGAGCGGGATCTCCTCCTGCGGCCCGCCGACCTGCTGCTGGAGCGCTTCTTTCGACCCGCCGACCTGCTGCGGGAACGCTTGCCTCTCCCCACAGATCTGCTCTTGGATCTACGGATTACAGGCCGGAGAAAATATCTATTTAGCACTGGCAGGTTTGACAGGAGATTCCGGACATGGTTCGTTCATTTTTTGGTTCCACCAGCTGCAGAGACCTTAAGGACAAACACATCTGATTATTGCTGCTGTGCATCAGTCCTCTGTCCTGTTCTACCTCTTCACTTCCTCATAGACTAAACAGGGACAGCAGCAGCCGCAGCACCTCTGCACTCTCTCTCTGCGTGTCTGCAGCTTTCGGTGCGTGAGTTGGTTCATATGGGACCAACATGTCGCAGATGTACTTTGTGGCGAGGCCATGGTGAGACTTGTACACAGACTTTAGCTTCAAAGTCTATTCTCTGAGCCACAGGAAGCAGAGACCTGAGAGCAGGACTAATGTGGTCGTACTTCCTGGTTCTAGTCAGGACTCGAGCTGCAGCATTTTGAATATACTACAGTAGTCTAAACTACTGGAAACAAATGCAGCAGAGTTCAAGTCTGCTTTAAACACCATATTTTTGATTCTGATGTTTAATGTAAAAAGCTGCTGATGTCACAGATTTGATGGGGCTGTTAAAATTGAATTCTGAGACCGTTATTTGTGACCTGATTGAAGGTGGCGGTATTTCTTCAAACACATATTGCGGGGTCCTTGGGTGCATCTTGCAGCCTTACTTGGATCGTTTGTTTCTGCCAGTGGATCTGCTCCTGGACCGCTTTCTTCGGTCCGCTGATTTGCTCTTAGACCTCTTCCGCCGGTCCACAGACCTGGAGCGCCTCTTGGCCCTGAGTGCAGGGGATCGGCTGCGTGAGCGCCGCCTCCGAGTCGGTGACCTGGACCGGGATTTGCGTGTCCTCGTGCGGGACTTGGAGACGGAGCGTTTGCGGCGAGCGGGGGAAGGGGAACGGCTGGATTTCCTTCGTCGAGCCGGACTTCTGGATTTGGACTTTCTTTTCATGGGAGACCTGGACTTCTTCCTGACTGGGGACTTGGACCTGTGGAAAGGACAGCTTTTAGCCTTGATGATAACATTTAGGGATGCATCGGCTGGACATCCGTATTGGCCGATGTTTGCCTTGTTAACTACCATCGGCAAAAAAATATTACATTAGCTGATGGTAGGCATGTGCAAAGAGATACCAGGACATTTCAAATATGAATTTGAAAATATAACAAAAAGAAAAAATATTGGCCATCGGTCAAGTTGTTATGTTAAAACATCTGTATTGGTACTAAATTTCACAATTAGTGCATCTCTAATAAGGCCAATTTATACTTCATACTATTTATACTTCAGTTCCTTCGTTTCGGCTCACGCATTCATACTTCATAAGACTTTACGACGCACCATGCAAATTTATGAACATGTGCAACACTTTTAGCAATTATTCATCTACCCGTGGTTACGTTCATGAGCTTATTAGTAGCGACATGTTCCATGGTAAAATCTGCCTTGAACTTGTGTGTGTGTGTCTGTGTTCGTGAATGCATCTGTGCACATGTGTAAATTAGCAGGTTATATTTCTAGAAGGTATATTTTGTTTGTGAGGAAAGTCATAAAAGGCATTCATCCAATAAATGTATTCCAAGTATTTGGAAAACCGTAACTATTTTTTCAAAAGTAACGGAATACTATACAAAGTACATTTTAAGTAATGAACTCAGTATTCTGTAACAGAATACATTTTCAAAGTATTCTACCACTGGATGTATGAATTGGCCTTTACTCTTTACTTTAGGCTACTCAAAGTATGAAGGATTCAACTGAACTCTGTGTGAAAAAGGTTGCTCTGACCTGGAGGCCTTCTTGCGGGGCTTGGGAGTAGAGTGTGGTGAGGCAGACGGAGACAGCTCTTTCTGAGCTGGTGGAGAGTCCTCTTTAGCAGGAGATTGATTGCGTTCACTGTTATCCTCAAAGGGAGCACAGGGCGGAGCTGCAGACATGGATGTTGAGGTGCCATCTTCTGTGCTCAGATTCCCGCTCTCCCCTTTGTCCTGGATGATGTCCGCAGGTTTCTCTTCAAGCCTTTCTGAAGTGTTATCAGTTTGAGAACTGGAAGCAGCGGCACCAGACATTAATTTCAAGACAGCTGCAAATTAAAAGACATCAAATGATATGAAGTTAAAAACACAACATACTAACAAAACAAAGGACTAAATATTCAATTTTCCACTATATCTAGTTTTCAAAATTATGTGTTTTTTATTATGTTTAGTGTGTTGTGCCCGATGGGTTCAGATCGCCAGGAATGACAAGTGGATGTGTCTAAGATGAGATTGGCTGTATTATGCTCTTGAATGCTGTTTCCACATTTCACAGGCTGATGCTTGTTATTGACTCAAAAAGTTAAACATACAATGGGGCAAAAAAGTATTTAGTCAGCCACCGATTGTGCAAGTTCTCCCACTTAAAATAATGACAGAGGTCTGTAATTTTCATCATAGGTACACTTCAACTGTGAGAGACAGAATGTGAAAAAATAATCCAGGAATTCACATTGTAGGATTTTTAAAGAATTTATTTGTAAATTATGGTGGAAAATAAGTATTTGGTCAATAACACAAATTCAACTCGATACTTGGTAATATAACCTTTGTTGGCAATAACAGGTCAAACAATTACTATAGATCAGGGGTGGCCAACCCGCGGCTCGTGAGCCGCATGCGGCTCTTTGGCTGGTTCCGTGTGGCTCTCGGGCTTTCACACGAGAAGCGTCAATAACGCCTCGGTGGTGGCGCTGCCTTTCATTCCCTATGTAGTTCTGACCCATAGTAAAGGCCGACTTCACTCCACTAGCCAGGCCACCAAAACAATCTGACGTCGGCGAACGTCAATTCTGGTTGGTCAGATGCGCTGTCAATCACTCTGCAGCTGCTGCCTCAGCTGTTGCAAATATCATAACAAACAACACGTTGCCTCGAACCATGGCGTCCGTATGGAAAACAATATCTTGGTCGCTGGATGAGGGCAACACCTTCCTCAGTTTGAGGAGAGGACATCAGCGTGAGCTCGATGGTTCCACCAGAAACCAGAAGGTGTTTGTGGAGCTAGCGCTAAGGACGGAGCAGAATGAGTCCCACAAACATGACAATGCAGAGAAAAGTTAAAAAGCTTAAAAGTGACAACCGTGAAATGAAAGATCACAGCAGCAGAAGTAGAGGCAGACTCGAAAAGTCTGGAGGTGGTTTGACCAAATGGATTACATTTACGGACATCGGCTAACACCGGCTAACATGCTAAAACCAGCTAACACCAGCTAGCATTACACCAGGAGATTAGCCAACTCTGCCTGGTGAGTGTCTGTCTTCAATCAAATGCAAAAGTATCTGGTCTTATACTGAACATGTGTCTGTGGTTCTAAATCAGCTGACGTGGTGTTGGTGTTATGTGTCAAATCTATATCTTTTACTAAACGCAGTCAGAGTGAATCATGGTTCGATAAAGACAGTTGTGTTTCTGCTGAACACTGGGTTGAAACTCGATTTTTTTTTTTCTTGGTTAGAGATTGAAAGCATTCATTTCGGAATCATAATTGATGTTCGCTGACGTGAAATTGTTCTGGTATCGACTCGCCCGGTTAGAACCAGGGCCAAACCATTAATAAAAAGTACCGGGGAGCGGTTGAAGCGAGCGGTAGAAGCGCCCGTAAACCAGGGAGAGTCGAGTCCTGCCCTTTAGTGCTGTACGAGTCAATTTCTGTCATTATCATGTTGATGACATTTACAATAAATCTGTCTGAGCAGAGCACACCTCTTTCTGCTCAGACAGATTGCATGTGTGTGCGCGTGTCTGCTCGTGTGCCTACGTGCGCGTGTGCGTGCGTGTGTAAGGGTTGGGGTGATGTTTATGTAGTATGTATATTTGTATGATGTGGCTCTTTGCTGTAACACAGTAAAAAAAATTGGCTCTTAGTCTCTGACTGGTTGGCCACCCCTGCTATAGATCTTCTCGAGAGCAGTGAACACGGACTTTCAACTCCCTCCACAGATTTTCAATGGGGTTGAGGTCTGGAGACTGGCTAGGCCACTCCAGGACTTTCAAATGCTTCTTACGGAGCCACTCCTTCGTTGCCCGGGCGGTGTGTTTGGGATCATTGTCGTGCTGGAAGACCCAGCCACGTTTCATCTTCAAAGCTCTCACTGATGGTTGAAGGTTTTGGCTCAAAATCTCACGATACATGGCCCCATTCATTCTTTCCTTAACACGGATCAGTCGTTCTGTCCCCTTAGCAGAAAAACAGCCCAAAAGTATGACGTTTCCACCCCCATGCTTCACAGTAGGTATGGTGTTCTTGGGATCCAACTCAGTATCCAAACACGACGAGTTGAGTTTACACCAAACAGTTCTACTTTGGTTTCATCTGACCACATGACATTCTCCCGATCCTCTGCTGTATCATCCATGTGCTCCCTGGCAAACTTCAGACGGGCCTGGACATGCACTGGCTTCAGCAGGGGGACACGTCTGGCACTGCAGGATTTGATTCCCTGTCGTTGTAGTGTGTTACTGATGGTAGTAACCTTTGTTACTTTGGTCCCAGCTCTCTGCAGGTCATTCACCAGGTCCCCCCGTGTGGTTCTGGGATTTTTGATCACCGTTCTCATGATCATTTTGACCCCACGGGATGAGATCTTGCGATCGAGGGGGATTATCAGTGGTCTTGTATGTCTTCCATCTTCTGATAATTGCTCCCACAGTTGATTTGTTCACACCAAGCTGCGTGCCTATTGTAGATTCACTCTTCCCAGTCTGGTGCAGGTCTACAATTCTTTTCCTGGTGTCCTTCAACAGCTCTTTGGTCTTGGCCATAGTGGAGTTTAGAGTCTGACTGTTTGAGGCTGTGGACAGGTGTCTTTTATACAGATAACGAGTTCAAACAGGTGCCATTAATACAGGTAACAAGTGGAGGACAGAAGAGCTTCTTAAAGAAGAAGTTACAGGTCTGTGAGAGCCATAGATCTTCCTTGTTTGAAGTGACCAAATACTTATTTTCCACCATAAATTACAAATAAATTCTTTAAAAATCCTACAATGTGAATTCCTGGATTTTTTTTTTTTACATTCTGTCTTTCATAGTTGAAGTGTACCCATGATGAAAATTACAGACCTCGGTCATTATTTTAAGTAGGAGAACTTGCACAATCGATGGCTGACTAAATACTTTTTTGCCCCACTGTATAGTTTTAACCAAAATGTCCAATGCAGCATCTTCCTGTGAATTCTGCAGTCATTATAGAAATAACCGAGTCATAACGTTACGTATGTAACTACAGTTCGATGAATCCCTACTAACCGCCAGAGGGAGGTGCATAGTGAATGATTCCTTGAGCACATGTGCAGTTCGAGTAACAAAACCAAATACAGCGCCTCTTGAAAGTACTAATACACCTTGAACCAGGAAATTCTTTTTTTTTGCACACCATCAAAGATTGTATTTCCTACGCTAATTTTACGCTTGCCCTGTTTGCTCCAGTGTTTAAACCAGCAGAGAGAGGGATAGGAAATGAACTGCTCTTAGCATGAATTCTGGAGCCGGCGTCGAACACGCTGTGTGTTTGTTTGATTGTGTTTGTTCATTAAAGTAATTAAGATCATCTTCAAGTGCAATTGGAGCTGCTTTCTACCCAAATGGAAAGCACTTTACTGAGTTGCAGAGATATGAATTCATATTTACCACAGTGGTTTAAAGAATAATGCTTCTGATGTGAGAAGGCCGATGCAGCTTCAGGCCCATTTCAAACATGCTTGTGTGTAGATTTCTGGATTCTTAACATGCGTTATTTTAAATAAATACACCAACCTCATTCCTACAGAAGCACTATTTGACAACAGCGACAGGTCTGTAACTACTGATAATACTGCAAAGGACAGGTGCCAGAAACCTACACAGACACACGGAGAACATGCAAACTCCTGGAGGTGGAATCAAATCTAGGACTGTCGTGCGGTGAGCATAAACCGCGGCTTGAGAGGCTTGTCATTTTACTGAGGACTGTCTTATGAATTTATAAAAGGAAGTGTTTGTACGTCATTCGGTGCAATAATATGTTTGCCAGATTTGAAATTGCTTATCCTGAGCTAATGAAGTAAAACAATCCGCATACAAATAGGGTTTTAAATGCTCTAAGCCATACTCACGTTCTGCTTTGTCACCGTTGACCTCCTCTTGTTTCTTTGAAGCAGTGGGTTTTCTGGCCTTCAGCGGAGAGGCCGATGTGGACCTGGCTGGAGAGCTGCCGTCGGACTGCGCATCGCTGGATTTGGAGCCAGACCTCGATCTGGACCGCTTGCTCTTGGGTGTCTTGGACTTCCTTTTGCCCGGAGGTGTGCGCGACCGTGATCGCTGCCTTCTTGAAGGGCTCCGGTTCTTTCGGACCGGGGTGCGTGATCGCTTCCTGAGCGCAGGGGAGCGGGTCCTGGACCTGCGCCGCGGAGATTTGCGGATGCTCCTGGATCTGGAGCGGTGGCCTCGTTTGGGTGGCGAGCGTGTCCTGGACCTTCTGGCCCGGTGCAGAGAGCGGGAGCGAGACCTCCTCCTCGGGGGCGGGGACCTGCGGTGTCTGGATAAGGACCGTGAGCACCTTCCACTGGCTCGTCTGTCCGGAGAACGAGTCCTGTTGGAACAACACCCATGTGAAACATTTCTATTCACTCCAGAATTTTCCATTCGCCATGCTATTTATTTTCTTTGGTTTAAACATTTCAGTGCTTTATGGCCTCACAAACATGCCCAAAGTCATTTTTTCATCGATTCCCTCAAGCTCTAGTTAGAGAGCAATCTTTCCCTTTCATTCTCCAGAGGAAGCAAAACCGCCTGATTCACTTTGTTACGCAGCACTTTCACACGTAGCTCGAGCTACAGAAGCCCCGCCTACAGGAGGTGATTGACAGGAGAGAGAAACCAAAACAGCGAATCAGCGCACCCCGAGCCCCTGTGATCCAAGATGGCTCCCTATTCAAATGAATGGCTTGTGCTCAGTAGCGCATGGGACTTCACGGAGACCGGGAGATTAGCAGAACTCGCCTATATTTGGGCATCGTCTGGTCCTCCCGGTTCTGCGCAGTGGACAAGCTCCCATGATGTATTGCGCCAAACGTGCGTGTGTGGCTTTCATGCACGTGCACAGAGGGGCTCGGCCGCACTCTGACCAATCAGAGCTGCTGATCAGAGCAGTGGTAGAGCCAAGTCAGAGCGGGAAGGAAACGAGCAGAGTTTGTGGCAGCAAACATTCGTTTTTTTTAATTAAGTAAGTCATGTTTATTTATATAGCGCATTGTACAGACCAAGGTCACCCAAAGCGCTATACAATTGGTCAGAGTTCAGATAGTTTTCCATTCACACACGGTAATGATGGAAACGAGTCCCCGAACACACTGGCACAGCCTCCAATCAACACCATGCATTCACTCTCTCATTACATTCAGACTGATTGTGCATTGTGATTACAATGTTATTTTTTTTATCAATTACAGACATGCAACTAAATACCATTAAAGTATTTCAATTAAGTTCCACCACTAAAGTAATAAAGTAACCAAAAGCCTTTAATGCCCCCAACCCTGGAGGGGCATCTTGAGAAGCAGTGTCTTACCTGGACCGGCGCGGCCCTCGTCGTGGCCTGGACACAGACCTCCGGAGCCTGGTGATGGAGCGAGAGCGCCTGCCTACGGCTCCACGTCTGGGCGTCCGGCTTCGAGACTTCTTTGCTCTGCCGCGAGACCTGGATGTGGATCGTTGGCCTCTTCTGGGGGACCGTGAGGGGGTCCTTCTGCTGCTGCGCTTGGGCGATCTGGTCTTGAGCTTTCTGGGCAATGGAGAACCTTTGCGGCGCTTGGGGGACACAGAGGTGCGTTTAGGTCTGGGAGACTTGGACACCTTTGTTTTGGGTGAGATGGAACGAGAACTTGAACGAGAGTGTGAGAGGTCTCTTTTCAGTGGTTTGGGAGATGGAGACGTTCTCTGTCTCGGAGATGGAGACATTTTCACTTTGGGTGACTTTGAACGGGATCTGGAAGGTTGACGAATCTTCTCAGGAGTCTCCTTCACGGGTGTAGATGGGCTTTTTGGTTGCTCAACCTTTGCGTTCTCATTGACAGAAGGCTGTTGTAAGCTTTGACTCATAGCTTTGCAAGGGGATTGCTGCTCAGAGAGCTCTGACGACTCCACATCCTTGAGGGTTGGCGGGGTTGGAGACCTTTCGGGTTTGCATTCAGGGACTGCTTGTTGTAGTTCGTCCTGCTGTGTCAAAAATTGGGTTTCCCTGAGTGCAGAAGCATCTTGTTTATTCCGTTTGGGGATGATGTCTGGAAAAGTGTGGGAATGATTCAGTGCACCCTTTGCAGGTCCATCCTCCATTTTCACTTCAGCTTTTGGTTTAATATCACCATATTCTTCGTGTTCTGCTTGAGTCCCGTTGGTGCTGCTGTCCTTGGGAGGAGAGGTCCTATCACAGACCTCTTCTTTGACCATCATCGGATGCTCAGACTTGGTAGTGAGAATGGGAGTCTCTTTCTCCTCTTCCTCCTGGCAGGTCACTTTGGACACTGGTGATGGGACATCCAGGCTGGCTTTCATCTCTTCAGTGTCCTTAGAGGGCTCATCCTCGGAGTCTGAGCCGGACGCTGAGCTGCTGTCTGAGGGAGTACATGAGGGGGACTTCTCATCCTTCTTTCGCTTTTTCTTCTTCTTTTTGCCAGCGTGTTTTTTGTGCTTTTTAGATTGTGAGTCTCCTTCAGTCCGATCTAACATTAAAGAAGAAATTTATTTTAAAATGATGCTAAAAGACCAAAGTTGGAAAGGTATAGAAATTACCTGTAGTGACTGGCTTTTTGCTGCCGCTTTTTGACACAACCGGGTCTATAGTAGCTGCTGCCAGCCGTGCACTGAAACATATTAGTGTTCAATTAAGCAGAACACAGAAAAAATTCATTCATAACTTGAAATATTTTTTTTTTTAAAAGGTCCATGTTGGTAGTTGCGTTTTGGACGTGTGTAAAGACGAACTCCAATGACAGAACAGTTCCTGCTGACTAGGACTGTAACTATTATCTTAATATTCAATTAGTTATTTGGAGGCCAACTCTCAGTGAATACTGGGTGTAATGTTATTTATACATTGACCAGAACAAAGCTCCAGTGATGGTTCCCCTGGAGAAGATTTTTCAGATACTTCATGAACACATTTCATTTAACTCTGCAGTCATTATAGAATTAACTAAAATAACTAAATAAAACCTTCTCAGCAGAAGTTTTAAGAAAGAATCGATACTGAACTGAGAAAGGTTCTAAAAGCCTTTTAACTGTTTTATAAGCACAATGTGTCTTGCCTCGGTACCGCGAAATTGAAAAAAATTACATGAGTGGATGAAAACAAAAATAAAAAATATAAACCAATTTTGAATTACATAGAACCATATACACAAACTACAATTATACTCAAACTTGTTGATAGAATTCAATGCTTTCAGGGTCTTCAAATGCTGCAGTGTCAGACCTCACCTGGCTCGTGTGGTCCTCACAGGTCTCTGAGGGGAGGAGTCTTTGTCAGACTCTGCAGATTCAGAGCTGCTGTCCTTCTCATCCTTCCTCTTCCTCTTCTTCTTTTTGCTCTTGTGTTTTCTGTGCTTTTTATTTTTCTTGTGCTGCTGCTCATCCACTTTGGCATCTCCCTTGTCAGGGGACTCGTCCTCTTCTATTTAATACAAAAACATCATTCAAATATAAAATACAGCATTTATGGACAAGTTCCGTTTTATTACTGATATGCTGGTATTCCATGTTATGATTAGAAAAACTTCAAATCGAGCTGTACTCAAGTCACGATTGTCATTCTCTTCAGTAGTTTATTTGCGACCTGTTTCCTTGTTTAATAAATGCTCATGTTTTGCAGATTCTTTGTGTGTTACACAACGTGTTTTTTTCACAGATCTACATCTACACAGAGCGCTACACAGACCGGTCTGCATCGCTAGTGTTTGTAGAGGTTTTTTGCGGACAATGGAGGACGACGGAGAAGGCACTGGGCAATACAGGAGAGTTAATAAGAAGCGTCTAAAGTGTTGGAGCACTTGACACTGAAAAAAAACTCAGTAGTTTGCACACTGCAAGGTTGAGCTAGTGTCTCATAGTAGCACAAGTTTGAGGCTGCAGCACCTGATGAGGAAGCATCGAGGGACAACCCGAGACATATAAAAGACGCAAGTGTAAAATGCTGTATATTCTAGTGGAGAAAAATACAGTTGTATGTTTACATCTGTACATTAGTAGCATGAGGCTCTGGGACACAGTGACTCAGTAAAGTGACAGTGACACATGAGGTTCTATAATGCATATTATTATTATTATTGCACAGATGCACAACATGTGAGGTCAGGTCAGCAGTGTTTGTTTTCCAATATAGGACACATTGAATCTGGAAGGCGTGTGCGATTGACATTTAACATTTTACGTCTGTGCTTCCCTATCTTTCAGTAAATTATCACAGCCTGTTTGGGACCGGTTCCTGCTCAAAGAACCTTCCTGCTCCCAGCACAAGCAGCTGTTCTTTTTTTTTCGATTAGTTGATTAATCGACCAGTGTATTCAATAGAATACTCAATTACCAAAATATTTGATAGCTGCAGCTCTAGTTGTCAGTCAAATGTGTTTTTAGTCGAATGCTTGCTTACTTTGATTGGAAATATTCTTTACAGCAGGACTCTCTCACAGCAGAAACAAAACAAAACCACCAACAGCATCAACTCAAACATGGTGGCGTGTGGGTTGCGTCCTCACATTTGAGATTATTGTGTCATTCACAGCAGTGTGCAAGTCCAGTGTTTCCCACACATAGACTAATCTGTGGCGCACCGCCACAGATTAGAGACCGCCCGCCACAAATTGCGTTTCGTATTATTATATATATATTTTTTTTGTTACGCTATTTAAAACATGCATCGTCTAGTGCCGCCGCAGCGGTCAATTTGACAGCGGGGAGGGGGGTTTAAAATGTGGCGGCCCTTCGTAACTCTCACTCAAGCTACGCGTCTCTCCCACATACAGAGACCTACACACACACAGCCCCTCCCCTTCGTGCACACCGCGTGTCTCCGTCTCCATCAGCGATCATCGCTGTAAGCAGCTGTGTCTATTAATTTACCGCGGTAAAGTGGCCCGCATCTTTCAGCTCTATGAACATGCGGCCCGCATCGGGGAAAAGACGGTGCGCGTTTTGTTGAGAACTTACGGTAACAGCGGAACGTCCTTTCGGAGTCACCCATTTTTATCGAACAGAAAGCGCGCTGGGGTCAGGGAGACACGTTTTTGTGATTAAAACCTTATAGAGATGCCACCCGGCACACATAGCACCAGCCCCCTACGATTCCTCCGGCAGATTGTGAGTCCTCAGGAGGATAGCCACTCTATTGTTTACATATATAAAGTACACAATTTGGTCCGCTAGTGCAATTTTCAAGTATTGTAACTATTTACTGGAATAAGGTGTGCGACTAATTTCACTTGACTCATGACCTTATTATTGCCCTCTGCCACTGTACCAAAGACCAGAAACTTTTACTGTAGAAATATTGAGAAATATTGAGGTAAAGTAGCCATTTTGGTCCAAAATACCTCCAAAATAGTCAAAACATGTCACTTTTGATCTACTGTAACTTTTTACTGTAAAAAGGTGTGCGACTAATTTCACTGGATTCATGACCTCAAGATTGTCCTCTACCACTGTACCAAAGACCAGACACTTTTACTGTAGAAATATTGAGAAATATTGATTTAAAGTAGCCATTTTGGTCCAAAATAGCCTAAAAATTGTCAAAACATGTCACTTTTGATCTGCTGTAACTTATTACTGTAAAAAGGTGTGCGACTAATTTCACCCCCCCCCCCGACCACCACACATTGCCTTCAAACCTGTGGGAAACACTGAAGTCATTTATTGAAACTATTAAGTGACTCAGAAGCTCTTTTAGCTTTCCCTCACAAAAAATAGTGAAATGAGACCTATATGTATAAAGTCAGGGTTCCCCAACACAATATTTTCACAGCGTTGTGTGTGTTTTTTTGTCACAATGAGAGCAGCAAAGAAGATTTTTTTTTAAATTATTATTATTGATTATTAGAAAAGTAGCCAATTGAAGCCAACTTGAGAAACAGAACATCCACCCTTGACGCTGGTTAAAGGGCAGCTCTGGGAGTAAAATTACTGCAGCTCATGATGCGCTGGCGCAACCCCTGAAAGTAACGACTCACCGGACTGCACTTCTGCACTGTCCATGGCAGCGCCTCTGTCCGAGGCCCTTCTCTTTCTGAGTGAAGCCAGTGTAGCTCTGAAGAAAGAACATTCAAACAGTCATATAATTAAAATGTCAAGGCAGTGTGCAAGTCATTTATTGAAACTATTAAGAGAGTCAGAAGCTCTTTTAGCTTTCCCTCACAAAAAATAGTGAAATGAGACCTAAAATATAAAGTCAGGGTTCCCCAACATAATATTTTCGCAGCATCGTATTTTTTTTCGTCACAATGAGAGCAGCAAAGAAGATTTTTTTAATTATTATTAATTAACATCCATACACAGGTAACATACAAACTCAACACAATTAGGGTGACACAGGATTGAACCCACAACCTTCTTGCTGTGAGGCTGAAGCACTACCCGCCTCAACATTGAAACTCACAATCTCACTACAACTTGTATGGTCAAGGAGCAAATGAAACAAGATTTATTTCAGCATTGGGTTGAATACTTCACCATTCTTTGTACTTTATTCTTGCTGTGTTACTGCTACAATGTCATATATCATCTGTACAAAATTATATTTTGTTTCATTTATAGTCAATATTTAAAGTATCAATGGGGCTACATCACATCTCATATGGAATACCATGCAAAATAACCCTCTGATATAACACTTTCATTTAAAAACTTAAAATTGTTTTTACAACTGAAGATGCAATTGCTCTATCGTTTATAATCAAAACGAAATATAATGTAGCAACGATCAGTATTCATGAGAAATGTACACAACTCAGCAACGAATTTCGAGACATTTCGGCGGCATTTATCTGAACCGTCGGGAAAAAAATGAGTGAAAACAAAATAGATATATTATATGTAATATGTATATACTAACCATTAGCTCAAGGATAAAAAATAGAATCAATCATAATAATGACATTAAAAGTAGCCCGCCTACAGGCCATACAGAGAAATACACAAACGCTACGTAATTAGCTGTAAACGGGCTAATAATTCTTTCAGTGATAGCTACGACAGTTTAGTTTTAGCAGAAGAGTAATGGCATGGACAGAGCAAATGCCAGATAAAGTTAATTGTCAGTGGACACATTGAGCCTCTATATTTCACTGTATTAGATTACTGCAGTCTTAACATTGTGCGCTATCGTTAGCAGACACGCGTTGATCAGGCTGTGGCCTCACACACTACAGGCCTTTCCCGTGTGTGGAGCCTTCATTCAGCCTGTGATGGCACCAAACAACACTGGACCATATTCAGACACACATTTCTTATCATAGTTCAACCCGCACCACATCACAGCAAACAGGCGGAATACAAGCAAATATGCAGTTATCTGTGCATTCAACAGCTAGCACTAGCTTCGATAGCAACCCTGGCTACCCTAGCTAGCATAACAGTTACGCTTTATGCTCGCTAGCCTCTATTCACCCTGTGCGCCGTGCGTTGATTCTAACCAGGTAACAAATAGTGTAAACACAAACCCAGGATATGTCCGGACTCTGCTGAATACAGTCTGTGTGTACAGGAGGTGACAACAGTTCTAAAAACACAGTGGAAGTGCTAAAAGCTCACGTTAGCTGGAGGCTAACGCATCCGCCATGATTCAGAAAGACAGTCCCACAAAGTCCCGCGAGACTGAACCAGAGTACCGCGGCGTGGTTGTTTCCACGGTAACCACACATTTTAGTTCGCATATAATGTATACTTGTAACGCACGTTGACGTTAGCTTAACGTTAACGCTCATTTCGTGTTCAATGTACTAAACGTGACATTTTTTTATTGTATCATTTAATCGAGTTGAATTAAAATATTGTTCTAACTACCAATACCAAGATGTCCTCGATTCTATTTTTCACATTTAAAATCCAGACATAATAATTATATTTGTAATTGAAAAAAGTATAAGTGAAAATATTGCTGGGATCGCGCGGCTAAAATGTCACGTGGTAAGATGTTCTCAAAATAGCGGAAGTGAATTGGCAGTTGAAGTCTGCGTCCAAATTCCCAAATCATACCTCATACCTTATCCTCCCTATTTCGTTTTAAGTGACTTTCTGGCCTTATATTTAACCTAATTTCCACTGGCTTTCAATTTTTACAGGGATTTTAAATATTATTTGGCCTATTCCTCAACTAGTTTGTTTCATAAAAGAATATATATAAGTAAACATCGGGAACAAGGAAAATACAATTCAGAATTAGGATGCAGTCCTAGTATTCAGCAGAAAGAAATATCCCAATGCTGTTTCTGTTTCTGTCTTTTAATTTATTTTAAATACTCACAATCAGGTTAAGGCATTTTGGATTAGTTATTCTCTCTAATGTCAAATTAAGGCGTAGGCTAGACTGTTTTAGGACGAAATACCAAGAGTTTAAAGAGTCTCCGACAAGGGGGGCGGCTTCTCATCGGCTGTGGAATATCTACTTTATCCAAAACATGAAGAAAAGATTTAATGTCGACCTGGACGACCCGGCGTTCACGAAGGAAAGAACCCCGGTGCGTTACCCCGGTGCATCAGAATGTGTTCCAAAGCTTTCTGCATACTTTTCCTGTTGTGATTCTGTGGAGCTTACCAACACGTGTTTTACTGTTAAATATGAGTTTACATTGATTATGCATTTGCAATTGGGTTGTAGCTATTTGGGAAGTTAGAATTTTGGTATGTAATTTAAAGCTGAGGTACCTAACTCATACAATCCATGTAAATTACAGTTACCTATATAGCACTATCGTTCCCTGTGCCTAGTTGAAATTTTAGCGCCTGAAAGATCAAACAATGTAAGGGGATCTTTAATATATGGACAAGTTGTCCTCTGCATTTGACCCATCCTGCAATGCCACTAGGGGCCTCTATAAAGAGCAGAAGTATAGCGTCCATCTCCTGATGTTGATGCTCTGCTTGGTCAGGACTACCGGACCTAGAGGATCTATTATCTATTGTACTTTCAATTTCAATTCATTTTTTTTTTATTTTGGAGAATCAAACCGTTCAAACGCAGGAAATGTAAGAATAAAAAAAAAAACACATAGAGCCATTGGTCGAAAAGGGACCAATAACCAATGTCCATTAATGTTAATAAAATGTTGTGTCCTGGATCATCACCACTGTCCTCAGACCCTTCTGCATCGACAAGAAACAACTCTAAAAAACAGTGGGAGAAAAGTGAGAAACCCACGGATGAAAGGGCTGTAGATCCAGGACTCAGACTGTAGAACGAAGACTGAAGCAGAGGGTCAGGGGAGATAGACCACAGGGCTAGATGGAGGAGGCCAGGTTCAGGGGTCCCATCATCACGCCATGTTCAGTCAAAGTGGGTGAATAGCAATTAACAGACTACAGCTGAATTCATAATGCAGCATGCATAATACACCCTCTGCATGACTGCTCATAGGAGTAATCGAAGCAACAGGCTCCTATCACTAACACTGCCGAACGGAACGTTTCAAGAGATCCTTTGTTCCTTCGGCTATCAGACTTTACAACAAACTTGGATGAGTCTTCTGCTGCTAGACACCTGAATTTCTCCTACGGGGGATCAATAAAGTATCTATCCATCAAAGTGTCTCCATATGCACCTAGACTGAAAATCTGTTTTTAGACTTAAAGAGCAACTAAACACCAAATCAACTTTTTTTAACTCATAAACTGCATAAGTATGTTTATTGTAGTGCTGTCTACATATCCTAGTCATTTTTTTAACATTTTAGTTCAAATTAGATAAAATATCACTTTTGAGACAAAAAACGCTGTGTGGTGCCCTCTCAACCTTTTTGGTGGTACTACATTTGAATTTGGTTCTGGCCTCTCCATTGACTCTGAAGTTCTCTATGACATCAGTTGTTTTGTGTGACGTCAGTCTGTCAGAGCCAGTGATGTGAACCCATTCAACTCTCACAAACGCCCCAGCTGCAGTTTGGAGTATTCTGGCGCCATCTAGTGGATTAAAATTAAATTACAAGAGTCATTCTGAGATTATTGAGTGTGATTAGGTTCAGGTTTACAATTATCTTAGTGTGTAAATAAGGGTGGAATGAGACTTTCTGGTCTGTAAACTATTGCTTTAAGCAGCAATGACAACTGTCTGTTTTTTTTTTGTGTGACAAGTGAGCTGTCAATCACAGCCCAGACCACGCCCAACTCTAAGCCCCCCTTCTTGTCCCTTGGTCCTCCAGGCAACGCCCTTTTTAGAGAAAATTTTCAAATCTTCATGTGGGCGGAGTAAGGCTGGGCACAGGTGTTTAGTCGCTCTTTAAGGTTGTTTTTTCCAAATCTTGAGTCTTACCTCCCCAACCATATGCAAAATGAAAGGTCCTAGTGCTATTTGGCCTTCATACACTTGCCCAAGGCAGTTTAAAAAAAAAAAAAAACCCTTGAGGGAAAAAACAGTTTTTAGTTAGAGACCGATCTTTCTCTTTCATTCTCGAAAGACAGAAAAACGTCTCAGCCCACATATACTGTATGATGCGGCACAAGCTGCAGAAGTCCAGCCTCCAGGAGGGAGCAATCAAAACGGCAATTCAGCGCATGCAGCCTCCCTCCTGAGTCCAGCGTATGGTTCCGCGTCTACCACAATGAGTTCTCCTGTTTTTCTGCTATTACCATTTTTTACGAATTTCACCTGTATGGTCATTCTAGTCACATACTAGTCCTGTTACAGAGCCAAATTAACACATATTATTCTGATGATGTGTTCTTTACGTGCAGCCGAAGCCACATTTCAAGTCGTCTTCCATCAGAGACGAAAGCAGCAGCGGAGCTTCAGTTTCCACAGAGCAGCCCCTGTCCTACGCAGAGTACATTGTGCAGAGTAAGAAAAGCAGTGCGGGCGGCCCACACCCGCCCAGGCCTGAACAATCCTCTTCCAAATCTTCAACCTCGTGTGAAGAAAAAGGCAGTGCCACCCTTCAGGACTGCACCAAGCACAACGAGCAGGACCCAGGCCCCGAGTCCAGCGCAGGCAAAATTATGGGCCCCAAACCTCCTGGCTCTGGCAGCAGTATTATCGTCAGCCCGCGACAGGTACCATTCAGTATCAGAGAATCACAGTCTCTCAAACATGTGCTATTACCAAATACAGAGCACATTTACCTCAATTCAAAAAGAACTTGGGCCTCATTTATGAAAGGTGCTTTTGGCGAAACATGTAATTGCAATATTTTTGACTAAAGTTGCGGCTGTGATGCGATTTTCAATATCCTGCATGTTTGTTTATTGTGAAAATATCATTGACTCTTCACTGGATTCACTGCTAAAGTGTAAATGCTGCAGTATACTTCCCAGTTGTAATGCTTTTGTGCTGGAGCGTTCACAGACCACACAGAAGTTTGTATAAGTGTTTGTTTTGCTGAAAGGTAGATTCTCAGAGAAAAACGTTACCGAGTCAAATCTACGAAGTTTTTGATTTCTATAGTTTTTATCCATAGTTTGTTTGTTTTGAATCATAAACAAATTCATTTGATGTTGTCGAGAAAGGAAGTCAAGGCACCGGCGATTGCACCTGTACCACAGTTTATTTTCGAGTCCCTCCAGATCGAACAAAAGAAGAAGAAGAACAGAGATGTTATTGTTTGAGATATTAATGACTCATGTTTAAGATATACCGTATTTTCAGGATTATTAGTCGCTCCAGAGTATAAATAGCACTAGCCGAAAACGCATAATAAAGAAGGAAAATAACATGTGTAAGTCGCACTAGAGTCGCATTTTTTGGGGAAATTTAAATCCAACACCAAGATTAGACATTTCATCTAGAGTCAATTTCACTGTTAACTGTGAGATGCAGTTTTGATATAGAGTAGGAGCCAAAATGTAGGTAAAACAAAAAAAATAGTCAATTTCTACAACACAACAAAAGCCTAGTCCTAAATTGCACAATGTTTTTCAGTACCGATACATGTCTTTTTTCTTTGGGATCTTCTTAATAGCGTAATCTCTCAACTTAATATCCCGGGCGATTATTTGTTATTTTACGGTAAATGAAATATAAAGTTGAATAATTTCACACATAAGTCGCTCCAGAGTATAATCCGAAAAATACTGTAAATACTGTCAGAACAATGAGGGCGTACTGGGCTTCAGATAATAATGTTTAGCAGTGATACAGATATAACGGGTCCACAGGTCAGATTACACTGTTGATTACAATGTTGTAGATATTGCAGTAATTAGAATTGGAAAGGGGAAAACAATGACACGTAATAACAATTGAAATGTGACTTTTGATGCTGTTGCAGAGAGGAAACCCCATTCTGAAGCATGTGAGGAGCGTCCCATGGGAGTTTGGGGAAGTGGTCCCAGACTACGTCCTGGGCCAGACCACCTGCGCCCTCTTCCTCAGGTGACCTCTGTTTGTACTAGATTTACTGCAGATGAGTCCCCGCTAACAGCAGACGACGTATCACCAGTGGATGTCGTTCTCGTTGGAGGGGAGTAGTTTAAGATCCAAGATGAAGAGATCCCTTATTGGTCCCTCAGTGGGGAAATTTCAGTGTTGCATCAAAAGTGAAAGAACTGTAGGAAAGAGGAGCACACAACACAAGCGGAGTAGAGCACAAGTTTATTTAGTAATCCCCGTAGGAGAAATTCAGGTGTCCAGTAGCAGCAAAAATAAAAAAATAAAATTGGTCATTCTAGCCCTTCAGGTCACAGCAGCAGAGATGCAGAAGCCTCTTGGTTCCGACCATTTTCTCTGCTCTGGTCCAAAGTAAAATGATAAATGCTTCTTTAGCATTTTTTAAAAGTTAGCATTCCTCCAGTGGATCTTCACCTGATCCGCTTGGTTCGGACCATGAATCCTCTCTGCTCTGGTCTGGACCAGTGTAAAACCATGAACACTGTACTGCACCAGCATCTCAGGCAGAAAAAAGCAAGAAAAATAACAATTGTTTCAGAGCTACTTAGACCTACCTGCCGTTTTCCAGCGCATCCAATTCACGTCTTATACGTCTTTGTTTGCACCAATCCTATCAGTCAGTTCTACCTTTCCAAAATTCCATCAAGAAGGGAAGAAACAAACAAGAATAATTATGTTTATGCGTTGGTGCCAAACAATTATTGCAATTTGTGCGACTGAAACATGAGGGAAGGGCTCCTGCTGCCGTCTGCTGCATCATTAAACTCACTGCAAGCTTCTGTTTGTGGAATAGTGTTCTCTGTTGATATTTTCGCCTGGATTCGGACCCGAGTTCCCATGTTCTGGATTTATAACTCAATTCTGTTCAGTCGCAATATTATGAGAACGCAATTACATAAATACAGTAGAGCAAAGTATACAGGACAGAGACAGTGTCATTATCTATTTCATCATCATTCTGTTTCACTTGTGTTTTCTCTGAGTTTACTCTGGTAACTTACATTTGCGTATTACATCCACAAGGTGGCGCCAGGTGCTTTGTTTTTGTGCATTCATTCAGCAGCAAGTTCAAATGGCTTCATCACAACCAAACGACAAGGAAGAGTAGTTTTGGCGCTACCCTCCTCAGGCAATTCTTTATTATGTTCAAGATAGAGATTTTATACTTGTTTCTTTGATGCTAGAGCTAGAGATTTTGTTTTATTTTAGTTAGTATAGCTATTGTGCTGTGTGCTCCTCATTCCTACTGTTCTGTAACTTGTGATGCAACACTGAAATTTCCCCGCAGTAGGAAGAATAAAGGATCTCTTAATCTTAATCTTAATTGTGGCCCAAATATCGCATAACTATCAAATCGTCACATTTTTGCCAATTCCCATCTCTATAAACCTCGCACCATGAGAGGACAGATCAGCAGAGACGCACTATGTCCACACACTCAGCTCATACAAGTGAACACACACACACACACACACACACCAGCCACACACACACACACTCAAGTGAACGCAAAAGGGCTTCACGCAAATAGGTGAACTCTTCTGAGCGACAACTCCCGACAAGAACAATTAAATGCAGTGTTACTTGTGTTAACTAATCTGTCATTGTGTGTGTGTGTGTGTGTGTGTGTGTGTGTGTGTGTTTGTGTGTGTGTCTGTGTGCCTGTGCAGTCTGCGGTACCACAACCTGAACCCGGACTACATCCATGAGCGTCTCAAAGTACTGGGCTCTGCGTTCGTCCTGCGAGTGCTCCTCCTCCTGGTGGACGTGGTGAGCGACCAGCGCCTGCATCTTTTGGGAATTAATCTTTTTTTTTTAAATATATTTTTGAGCAACAAACGCAATTTTCAATATCCAAACTTGTAACCATTACTTGATCACTATTCCCACATATTTCAGACAGTCTTTACAGCAGGGGTGTCAAACTCATTTTGGTCAGGGGCCGCATAAACAGACGAGGAACTGGTCGGGGCCAAAATAATCAAAGGGCTTTTCCTTTTGTATGCTTGTTTTTTTACATTATGGAGGTATTTTGACATTTTCTTAAAGCAAAATGTGTTTATTGTTTAGATTTACCAAAAAAAGGAGTCTGAGGCACTCTGTTGAAGTGAAAAAAAAATATATATACCTTTTTTTTGACTTCTCAATCACCACAACAGAGTCAAAAACATCCTGTAGCTGCTTAAAATGTGTTTATTCTTTAGATTTAACCAAAACTTTTTTTTGTTGAACTTCTAATGATGTGTTTTATTTAGCTTACAGTACATTTGGTTGTTTTCCTGAGAGAATAGATGTAAAAGATGTCTTGGTAAACCCATAAACATAAATCCTGCAAGTTATAAATAATAATTGAATATATTTTTAGGAGCCACGAAAATGTGTTTTGTGATCCGAATTTGGCCCACGAGCCTGAGTTTGTCTTGCCTGCTTTATAGAGTTAAATACAGCATTTTTATTTGCCGTTTCTGTGGCCTTCCTCGTCCTCCTCCTCTTCCTCAGGTGTGATGATGTTTCTGTCCTGTTTGCAGAAAGACCCGCACCATGCCCTGAAAGAGTTGGCCCGCATCTGCATCATGGCCGACTGCACCCTGATCCTGTCCTGGAGGTATCTGTCCTATGGTGTCTGTCCTGGAGGTGACACTGGACACGGCCCCTCAGTCCTGTCAGACCTCTGGAGCTAAGAAGGGCAGGGCCTGTTTAGTACCGTGATGGCAGTGACGTGCGGTGAGGTTGGTGATTGGTGAGGCACTGACTTCACCCCAATCAGATAAACATATATCATATAAATCAACAGGACCTACAGAGCGGCTTATTTACAATTTGTTTGGCTACAGCAGAATATGTTAATGTCCGCATTGTTTGCTCATACCAACCACAAAAGTGTTGTTATGGGCCTTACCTCACTGTAAACATGACCTGCACAGACCACTTCAGTTCAGACCAGTTTCATGTTTAAGTCCAGATAATAGTTTGAGCGCAGATACGTAATCCTCCATTTAGAAATAAGTCCAATGAGTTTTAAAAAGTAAAACCAAACGGGTGTCTCCTCCATAAACTCCTCATGTTTCGCTGCAGCCGAGTCTCGGGCGCATCCAATTTCTAATATCAACCTTCTTAGCCTTAGCCTCTCTTCCTTATAATTCCTATCATCATTGGAAGCATAACATTACCCTAAGTGAATTTTAGATAATCTTACAATCTGTTACACATATTTTAGCCAAACCTGTAGCTGCCCTTAGCAGAGGAAGAACAAGAAAGGGGCTTTCAGATTAAATTGGATGCAACCGAATTCTGGGCTCACATGCGCCCCCCTGAGGCTGGCCTCACTTGGTGACGTTACAAGCCGTGGTTTGAGCGCAATTAAGACCCATATTTGTTTCAAGTTATGACCCATCCTCTGAACTGTAGACATGTAGATTGTAAAGGAATTATGTTTGAACTTTGTAAACCGCGTAAACAGAGAAAACAGTTGGATAGCAGCGCACGGGCTCCTGCCTCTGTGAACTACAGGCTTTTACGTCTACCAAGTGAGGCTCGCATCACAACGCACCGCTCTATCAAATATGAGAAATTATGACGAAAATCTGCTATTTCAAGGTAAGAATTAATTAAATAAGGCAAAGTTACATGAAAATAATACAAAAACATAAATCACTTGATATAGTGACCAAGTATTATTATTTCCATTTTATTCTTTTTCTTCCCATGATCGTAGGTGAGGCCAGGCCTCACCTGCCTCATCTGACCGCACGTCACGGCGTGATGGTAGACCTCTAGGAACACCAGGTGCCACAGGGCTGTAAAGTGTCAAACTGTGGCTGTGTCCTTAGACAAGACACTTCACCCGTGTGTGCGTGTGTGTGTTTCTGCCAGTGGGGGCGGGTCCCTGGCCAAAATGATGTGCTTGCAATACCACCCCGGGCCGATGGGGGTGGACCCGGAATAAGAATTAGCCAATGCTAACATATAGCATCTTCTTTCCTCTCGAAAACGTCTTGGTGTGGTTCTTGTCCCGAAAGTTGGTTCATGGCCCAAAGCTCCGTTCCACATGTGTGTCAATGCTGAGGGGGGTGAATTTCTTTGGACCAGTCTGATTTTTGAAGTCACTCGTTTTTAATGAATGGAGCTCTCGCTGGCTGACGCATGCGCAGATGCGTTTTTTTCACAATTTTCTTGTGGGCGGGACCACTCGCGTCCTTTTGGATAGCTCCAGTAGAGCACTATTTTTGGCCCATTAATTAGAACAATGGAGATTGGCGTGACTCTGTCCGTTAATATATACAGTCTATGGTTTCTGTGTGTGTGTGGTCGGTAATCATTTGAAGAATAAATGCTGTTTAAGTAGATTACTGACCTTATTTTCAAAAACGTGTAAATTGAGAGTTTGATCTGACTTGAACATCATCAAATAAATACCACCAATACATTTCACACTGACTTTGCTCCATATTAGCAGTTTTCCCTCAGTAGAGAAAGAGAGAAGGGGAGGCAATAGTAGTTTTATGTAGATTCCTTTGTATGCATGCCTTATATTTTTTTGTTTGTACTTTTATAACTTGTTTGCACCGAGAGCCAAAGTAAAGTGGTATTACAATATATAGTACTTGTATTAAAGTCTGTATGTTGTCTCAGTCCAGAAGAAGCCGGACGGTACTTGGAGACGTACAAGTCGTATGAGAACAAACCCGCGGACCTCCTCAAGGAGCAGGTGGACAAGAACTATCTGTCCCAGGTTTGTTTAGCTCAGCTCTGACCTCTTCAGAACCCCTACTGTCTCCTTTAACTGTGTGTGTGTCTGTGCGTGCGTGTTTCTGTCTGCCTGTGTGTGTCTATCTGTCTGTTTGCGCGTGTGCGTGTGTGTCTGTCTGTGTGTGTGTGTGTGTGTGTGTGTGTGTGTTTGCAGGTAACAGACTGCATGACCACAGTCAAGTCCATCAATAAGACCGACACCATGACGCTGCTGTCCACCTTCTCTGTGAGTGTCCGCTGCCTCCTTCTCCTCCTCCTCCTCCTCCTCCTCCTCCTCCTCCTCCTCCTCCTCCTCATGCTTATGCTCCTCATGGCACATATTTAACACTGTACTTTTCTTTGCTGCAGACTGTGGAAGGAATCATCGACGCCTCAAAGGAGAAGTTGTTGCTCTGTCCTGGGTTTGGTCCTCAGAAGGTGAGAGAGAGAGAGACTTCTGTGCCATTTATGATCTCTGAAAAACCTGTGACCACTGTCAAAGAGTGTAGAAGAACCAAGAGAAGAAACTCAATATAACGTCCCATTGCAGCCGCAGCTCCGCCATCTTGGACTGAACGCAAAACAAGTCTCATAGAATACAGTTAGGCTACAGGTTCACTTCAGAAGCAGGAAATTAATAGTTTACTCGCTTTTTATTGTTTCTATTAGGGCTGCACGGTTTATCGAAAACATATTGTTATCGCGATATTGGTGCGTGCGATATCCATATCAAAAAGATGCACAATAAAAAAAAACATATATTGTTTTTTTTTTTTTATATTTTTTATTTATCAAAGACAACAAAACAGACAGACACATCAACATTCAACAAACAAACAAACACAAAAAGTATTTAAATATATGCATTTGAATGTTGTTAATGTGTTTCAATGCAGGTTGCAGTTGTAGGTGAAAGACAAATATAACACAATATCGTTATCGAAATACTAAACACTTTAACAACAAACACAAAGCTCCTGTTATGACACATACCTCTCTGGATCTTTGTGAATCTATATTGATCAGTTGTACTTCGGCTGCAGTTGATTCATAGCACAGTTTTTGTCTTTTCCTTTTCTTTTCAGACATAATGTTATTGCTGCATAGTATAGTATGTCGCTATGGTAACCGTCTATGGCTCACTACAAAATGGCAAAAGCGGGGTTTCGCCTCTTTTTATATATAATCTTTGCCACTATTCTATATTTAGAACATTACAAAGCCCATCCATTCATATAAAATGAGAATAAGTCGATCAGTGTTGGCTCTACCTTGGAGCTGTAGTTAGATGTAGAGTCCAGCAGAGGGCGCACACTCTCTGACTTGACTTATGACTGATCTGAACGTTACTGCTTTGTTCAAAAGTTCTTTATAGTAGCCATATGAAAGATTTTCATGTCAAGTCATCATTAATAGGCCTAATTTGTCAAAAGGCATTAATACAACTCTTTTCAAATACATCTTTAACTGATAACAGTAGTTCAGCCGAGATATTCCAATTTCAAAATTAGTTTTGTAGCCCCTACATCTTGTTACTGTTTTCATCTTGATGTCCCGCCCTCCACCATCAGAAATTCTGTGATCTGGGTTTCCAGAACTCACTGCATCGAGCTAATCAGACTGGTAAAGTAACATGTCAGCCCGTTGTACTAAAAAATGTCTCTTTGTGATTCTCAAATTATTAACAACAAAACAAGGAATAAAACAAGGATTTCTATCACAGATACCTCTGTGAAAAAGACGTTAGTTATAGATTTGTGACAAAACTCTTGTCTATTCAAATATTATGGTCCCACCTGGATTCGTCTGCATATCTGGCAACCTCAGTCCGGGAGAGTGGGAGAGGTTGCAGTACCACTTTTGGCCAGATTTTTACATACTGCACCTTTTTAAGAGACAAAAGTAAGCTCAGACTCAGACGAGCACCGCTACAGGAGTCTACTGAAGCTAAACGACAGGTGGAGGAGACGGGGCCAATGTTTTGTTGATCTTAGGTTGGGATCGCTAATATTAGTCGCTAATGATTTTGAGCAAATATCAAGATCCAGTCAAAATGATATTTAAACGTGCTCTCTGCACTGTCCTCTGAGCAGGTTAGACACGGGCTAACTGAAATGAGAAATTGGTAAACTATAATAAAACACATGCAATTCTTTTTCAATTGAAGGAAACTAAAATATCAATTTCTGATTCTGTTTTGTACCGGACACTCCGCATTGTAGTAGTTTAACATCGAAATCTGAAGGCAGTCCTTGTTGATTGGCCCATTGCAATTTATAACACTTTCACCAGTTTTCACACACTTGAAATTCTAGCCTCTGTCACATCTTTAGATCAGGAAGGACAGTTCTTCCCGCATCTGCTTAGGTTTCTTCCAGGTGCTCTGGGTTTCATCTACCACTAAAAACATGTGCAATAGGTGAGGGTTCAATGTGTAGCTACAGAAATGCACTATCTGGTGTATTTACAGTCAGCGTATTTAGGTAACTTTCTGTTGGGACAAATGATGTGTTATTAATTCATATGTAGATACCCGAGTGCGTAAAGGGGCAAAGAAAAACTACTGAGAGAGTCCATTTTAAGATGATCATTGTTTGTGTTTCCAGGCACGGCGACTGCATGACACACTACACAAGCCGTTCCTCAAATCCAAGAACAAAGACTCAAAAACTGCTGGGATCTGAAACTTTAGTCACAACATTGAAATCTGTCGTGTTTGCGTCACACAATAAATATTTTTGTATGAGCAGTGTCTTTGATTGGATTCATAACATTTTGTTCATTTTGATCCAGAATTCAGCCTTTAATCTAGACTTTAAGAAGAGTTTTTGAATGCTCACTCGAGATATAGCTTGAGCAGAGTTTTCTAGCCAGGTCAAACCAGGAATTGTATCATGTCTGAAGCCGTTGTGAGTGACTGCGTGATGTTAAACTTGTTAAAGGTGTCAGAAGTGTTAAAAAGGGTTCCTATACTGTTGAAGAGTACTCCTTGAGGAATTGCACGATTACACTGATATTGCACTCCTGTTACTACACTATGGTTTGGGTCTGGGACTGCTCTTGAGTCTGCCCTTGGTCCAGTTCTGCCTTTGGTCCAGGTCTTTCCCTCTGTCTCAGTCTGACCTTGGTCTGGTTTGGGTCCAGATTTTTTGTTGTCATTTAAGTTGTTATTGATTTCTCTGTTAAACAACATCAGCAAACATGAACATGTGAAAAATAAAACAAACAATCATGCACTCAAACAAAATCAATTATGTCAAACTCTTTTTTTTATGGCAACAAAAAGAAACATTTGACTGGCTTTACTCCGGACATTATGTTGTTTAGAGATTAATGTCTCAAAGGCTGCAGTCTCAGTCAACAGTCGAATCCAATCTTGGATTTTTGGTCTGTGAGGGCTCGTCCAAACCTGCAGAATCAATCTGGGGGCCTCTACAAAAGCAGCCTCCACAAACATAAATGTCCAGAATTGAAATTAAATTGAGCATATCTGAATATGAACTACATGTTATCAAAGTGACCTTTTGTCCGTTCTTCAGGACCTGAAAGAAGTTCTACTTTTCTCCTTTGTTTCCATCGAGCAGTGAGTCACATAAAAAGGTTTATATTTTCCCCTCTTACACGCGCAGGGCTCCTGTATTTATAACATCAGTCACTTCCTGCAAATACTGGACACTGTTCATATGTGTATATTTAAGAGTTTAGATCTCAAGAATGATTACCTTCATGTACGTGTATGATTGATATATATAATTTGGATTTTATCAAGCGCTCTTGTTTTTAGTTACATTTGTCTTGAGGTGAAAAATATTACATGTATAGAAAAGTACAAGCATCCAATTACTTCAAATGGCTCTTGTCTGTGTTTACATCTGTAGCAGAAGCTGTCTGACTCCGATGGCTGTTCTGTAACTGCAGTCTCCCTGCAAGCTGAGGATGAACCCTTTGTGTTAACAATGAGGTCTGTGGGGAACAGTTCTGGTGGTTTAGTCTGCAGTAGTGCAAGAGGTCCACCACCACGCCAGGGCCAGGCATGAGCTATTAATGCATTATCCAGATTATTATTTAGTCTACGTTCATGTGCATTACGTGTCAAAACGCTGTTGTTGAGGAATGTGCCTTTTTCCTGTTGCACATTTGAATAAATGATTGAATAAATAAAACAATGATGCAACACCACTCGCCCCCTGCTGGTGGCTCCGAGGCACATCGCAGGACGGTGAGACGAAAGAGCGTCTTTTAATACAAATTTCAGATGTGTTTCCTATGGTGTCATAGATGATGCCTACGTAGCAAACAGAAGCATGTTGTCCTCATACTCAACCAAAGAAACCAAAAATATTAGTGACGGAAATACATTCTCAAACGACTCTTTCGCACTTCAGACTTTCAACCCTCACACAGACATCACACCATATCATCATAATCATATCAGGCAATTAAAGCACATAAACCGTGAATGTACTAATGTCCAAAGCACAAACCAGTCGTCGCCGTGGAGACATTATGGAAACAGACATTATTACACCATACTGAAATAATCACTAATTCTGATTTCAAATATGAATCAGACACAGTTCCTCTATGAACAGGTTTTTGCATTTTGAGTTGTAGTGAACTTGTATTTCGATTGTGCTTGTAACATAACAGCTCTGAAATATACGTTATCTTGACAATGATTTATACCAGAGCAAACAAGAACATTGTCATAATATATTAGCTTTGAAATAAATACAATTGAGTTCTTTATATTATTTCACTTTGTACAATAGATCAGAGCATGACAGGTCATGTCCACTGACGTCTCTGTCCACAGGTGTCCACAGATGTCCACAGATGTCCACAGATGTCCACAGGTGCCCACAGGTGTTCCCTGACGTCTCTGACATAAGGAAAAGCTGGTGCAGCTGTCCTCGTGCCCGTGCTCTGTGGCCTGGTGGTGGCGCTCTGTGGCCTGGTGGTGGTGCTCTCACGCCTGGTGGTGGCGCTTTGTGGCCTGGTGGTGGCGCTCTGTGGCCTGGTGGTGGCGCTCTGTGGCCTGGTGGTGGCGCTCTGTGGCCTGGTGGTGGTGCTCTGTGGCGGCCTCCTGCTCTGTGCGGCGCTCGTGCTTGAGGCGCAGGTGCTTGTCGCAGTGGTTGCTGAAGGACTGCAGCTTGGCGAAGGTCTTGTTGCAGACGCGGCAGTGGTACGGCCGGTAGCCGGAGCGGGTGCGCAGCCGTTTGCACAACCTGAAGTAGGTGGAGCGCATGAAGGTCCGGCAGCACACGCCGCACTTCAGGTCGTCCGCTCCACCTGCGGGCTGCGCGCGTCGGCTGAGGGTAGCGGACGGCCTCCGGAGGTCAGGCCTGCATCAGAGATGAAAAGCCTTTCAATATTTATTTACTTACTGAATATTATAGCAGTTTTATATATATATATATATATATATATATATACATATACTGTATATATATATATATATATACATATACTGTATATATATATTATATATATACATATACTGTATATATATATTATATATATACATATACTGTATATATATATTATATATATATACACACACTGTATATGTGGTGCCTCCTGCAGGTAAAATCCTGGTCGATTCTGGCCTCAGAAGCTGAGCAGGGTCTGGTTTTTACACATTACCTAGAATTCAATTCAATTCAGAATGAGTCTGGTGTGTGTGTGTAAATGGTTGGTGGTGGTGAGAGGGGGCAATGGTACCGCGTGGTTGCTTCGCTTCTGTCAGTCTGCCCCAAGACAGCTGAGGCTGTAATAGTAGTTTATCACCACCGTGTGTGGAATGAAAAAATATTGCCGTAAAGCAGAAAAAGCATTGCATTATTATTATTACTATTATTAATCATGTTTATTAAAAGAGCAACCCTTGTTAGTATCAGGAACTAAAGAATTGGCACAAACTTGCTCTGCCATCCCAGACCTACAGGCTGCACCCCCTACCTGTCAGGGAGACTATTCAGTCCGGGTCTACAGCCTCAGTCCTGGGTCTACAACTTCAGTCCTGGGTCTACGGCCTTAGTCCTGGGTCTACGGCCTTAGTCCTGGGTCTACGGCCTTAGTCCTGGGTCTACGGCCTTAGTCCTGGGTCTACGGCCTTAGTCCTGGGTCTACGGCCTTAGTCCTGGGTCTACGGCCTTAGTCCTGGGTCTACGGCCTTAGTCCTGGGTCTACGGCCTTAGTCCTGGGTCTACGGCCTTAGTCCTGGGTCTACGGCCTTAGTCCTGGGTCTACAGCCTTAGTCCTGGGTCTACAGCCTCAGTCCTGGGTCTACAGCCTCAGTCCTGGGTCTACAGCCTCAGTCCTGGGTCTACAGCTTCAGTCCTGGATCTACAGCCTCAGTCCAGGGTCTACAGCTTCAGTCCTGGGTCCACAGCCTCAGTCCTAGATCTACAGCCTCAGTCCTGGGTCTACAGCTTCAGTCCTGGATCTACAGCCTCAGTCCAGGGTCTACAGCTTCAGTCCTGGGTCTACAGCTTCAGTCCTGGGTCTACAGCCTTAGTCCTGGGTCTACAGACTCAGTCTTGGGTCTACAGCCTCAGTCCTGGGTCTACAGCCTCAGTCCTGGATCCCGCTCCCTGTGGCCCACCTCACCTGTTGGCGTGGCGCTGCACGTGCGCCACCATGCCTGACTTTTGGGTGAAAGTCTTGGAGCACAGGGAGCATTGGAAGGGCCGCTCTCCAGAGTGGATCCTGCGGTGGGTCTTCAGGTGCGACAAGCGCCCGAACCTCTTGCCGCACTCGGGGCACTTGAACGGCCGCTCGCCCGAGTGGATCATGCGGTGCACTTCCATGTGAGACTTCTGCTTGAAGTTCTTCCCGCAGATGGCGCAGGGAAACTTGCGGTCTTTGCGGTCCTTGGCGTGGCCGGCCAAGTGCAGGCTGAGGTGAGCGGAGGAGATGAAGGTCTTGTGGCATATGTGGCAGGACTGCGGCTCCAGCGGGACGCGCCTGCACAGCCTGCTGCGGGGGCCGGCGCTGCCCCCGTCCAGCATGGGGCTGTCGATCACCATGGCGACGCAAGACGTGTCAACGCTGAAAGTGAAGCGATGAGAGTTACCATCAAAGAGTCTTTTTGGTCTGTCATCAAAACACTTTTAAAGTATAGAGTTGTGCTATACTTAATATTGACAGGGGATTATCAGGGGAAATGTCAGTGTTGCATCAGCAGTTACAGAACACAGCACAAGATGAACAATAATTATAAGATAAAATAACATCTCTAACTTTAGCAGAATAAAGGAGAAAGTCTAAAATACTGTATATTTTAAACTGGTTACTCAATGAATGAATGATGAATGCCCACTGGGTTTTTTGTTGTTTGTTGTTCCTTGTTGACAGTGGTAATCCAGGACATGCATTAACATTTATGGACATTTGCCCATTGTGGACCGATCACTGTGTTTTTATCACTGCATTTCCTGTGTTTCATAACAACTGCTATGATTTAGGGCTCTGCAAATCAATTGGCTCGAATGCTCAGACTCTGAAGTCACGGTCAATGTTGAACCTTTGTGACTTATATTGTGTTAAATTTAGATTTTCAAGCACATGTTTTTTAAATTATAATTACTTTCTTTTCTTTTCATTTTGTTTTGCTTGTTTATGGTGTAACGTACAATAAACAATACCTTTTGGTTTGAGATTTCCGAGGTTGTTCCAGGAATCTGCTTTTCCCCTAATCTATTATAAAATACAACCCATGGTCCCATTCTGAAGGCAAACCCATAACTCTAAATTTACCCAATACTAATTTAATTTCGGGAAATTTGCTTTCACTGTGGCATTGTGCTCAGACTAAACATATCTACAAAATATCCTTTAAAGGCGCATTTGCGGTCTGTGCGCATCAAGAATTTCACCTCAAAGTGATTGAATGAAACGTCGGCCTATACTTGAACATGAACGTGCAGCAGACACAATACAAGCACGCGCATGCAGGAGGACGCGGACACGAGCATGCACTACGCAGTTACATACTGCCTTTATCCCAGGATCTGCCAAAGCTGCCCGCCCCAAAGCCCGCATCCCGAAGCCTGCATCCCGAGGCCCGCACGCCGCTGCAGGGAGGGGGGTGGTGGTGGTGGTTAGCCCTGGGTGTGCGCTGTGGACAGAGGAGGAGGAGGAGGGTCACGGTGACTGCAGCGCCCCCTAGTGACAGGAGGAGTACTGCTGCAGATGTGTCCTTGTATTTATTTTTTATATTTTTTAATTTTTTTTTTTTCCATCCTGAAATACAATTGCAATTCCATCCAGAGACATCAGACGCAAATCCAACATACTGCTGCTAATGTACAGATGTAAACATACTGCTGCTAATGCACAGATGTAAACATACTGCTGCTAATGTACAGATGTAAACATACTGCCGCTAATGTACAGATGTAAACATACTGCTGCTAATGTAGATGTAAACATACTGCTGCTAATGTACAGATGTAAACATACTGCTGCTAATGCACAGATGTAAACATACTGCTGCTAATGTACAGATGTAAACATACTGCTGCTAATGTACAGGTGTAAACATACTGCTGCTAATGTACAGATGTAAACATACTGCTGCTAATGTACAGATGTAAACATACTGCTGCTAATGCACAGATGTAAACATACTGCTGCTAATGTACAGATGTAAACATACTGCTTCTAATGTACAGGTGTAAACATACTGCTGCTAATGTACAGATGTAAACATACTGCTGCTAATGCACAGATGTAAACATACTGCTGCTAATGCACGGATGTAAACATACTGCTGCTAATGTACAGATGTAAACATACTGCTGCTAATGTACAGATGTAAACATACTGCTGCTAATGTACAGATGTAAACATACTGCTGCTAATGTACAGATGTAAACATACTGCTGCTAATGTACAGATGTTAACATACTGCTGCTAATGTACAGATGTAAACATACAGCTGCTAATGTACAGATGTAAACATACTGCTGCTAATGTACAGATGTAAACATACTGCTGCTAATGTACAGATGTAAACATTAACATACTGCTGCTAATGTACAGATGTAAACATACTGCTGATAATGTACAGATGTAAACATACTGCTGTTAACATGTACAGATGTAAACATACTGCTGTTAACATGTACAGATGTAAACATACTGCTGCTAACATGTACAGATGTAAACATACTGCTGCTAATGCACAGATGTAAACATACTGCTGCTAATGTACAGATGTAAACATACTGCTGTTAACATGTACAGATGTAAACATACTGCTGCTAACATGTACAGATGTAAACATACAGCTGCTAATGTACAGATGTAAACATACTGCTGCTAATGTACAGATGTAAACATTGACATACTGCTGCTAATGTACAGATGTAAACATACTGCTGATAATGTACAGATGTAAACATACTGCTGTTAACATGTACAGATGTAAACATACTGCTGCTAACATGTACAGATGTAAACATACTGCTGCTAATGCACAGATGTAAACATACTGCTGCTAATGTACAGATGTAAACATACTGCTGTTAACATGTACAGATGTAAACATACTGCTGCTAACATGTACAGATGTAAACATACAGCTGCTAATGTACATATGAAAACACACTGCTGCTAATGTACAGATGTAAACATACAGCTGCTAATGTACAGATGTAAACATACTGCTGCTAACATGTACAGATGTAAACATACTGCTGCTAACATGTACAGATGTAAACATACAGCTGCTAATGTACATATGAAAACATACTGCTGCTAATGTACAGATGTAAACATACTGCTGCTAATGCACAGATGTAAACATACTGCTTCTAACATGTACAGATGTAAACAAACTGCTGCTAATGTACAGATGTAAACATACTGCTGCTAATGTACATATGAAAACATACTGCTGCTAACATGTACAGATGTAAACATACTGCTGCTAACATGTACAGATGTAAACATACTGCTGCTAATGTACAGATGTAAACATACTGCTGTTAACATGTACAGATGTAAACATACTGCTGCTAATGCACAGATGTAAACATACTGCTTCTAACATGTACAGATGTAAACATACTGCTGCTAACATGTACAGATGTAAACATACTGCTGCTAATGTACAGATGTAAACATACTGCTGCTAACATGTACAGATGTAAACATACTGCTGCTAATGTACAGATGTAAACACACTGCTGCTAACATGTACAGATGTAAACATACTGCTGCTAATATGTACAGATGTAAACATATACTGAGGCTGTCGCTGATTATTACAATTGTTATCTTTTTAGAATGATCCATTTTTTTCTTATTTTTTTTGCTGCTACTGGACACTTGAATTTCTCCTACAGGGATCAATAAAGTATCTATCTATCTATCAATCTATCTATATAACTACATATTGCTTCCACTAGAATACACAGTACTTTATACTAATCTTATGTTCAAGATAGCGATGTTTTACTTGTTATTTGATGCTAGAGTTGGAGATTTTGTTTATTTTAATTACTATAGTTATTGGTTACTTATCTTGTGCTTTGTGCTCCTCATTCCTACTTTACAGTATTTATAGTTTATTTGGTTGGGACAGTACATGTATGAACACATCACTCTGGATTGTAGCCATGGGCTAATTTGCGTCCGTTGTCCCACATTCACACTCACTCATTCACCCTGAACTATTGCAAATGTTTTTAGTGGTAGGGGAAACCGGAGTACCTGGAGGAAACCTATGTAAACACGGGGAGAACATGCAAACTCCACCCACTGTTCTGTAACTTGTGATGCAACACTGACATTTCCCCACTGTGGAACGAATTAAGGATCTCTTAATTGTAAGTCCCTCCACAGACTGAGGCAGGTGAATTTATCTATATACAGTGCCTTTCGAAAGTATTCGGCCCCCTTGAACCTTTCAACATTTTGCCACATTTCAGGCTTCAAACATAAAGGTATAAAATTTACATTTTTTGTCATGAATCAACAACAAGTGGGACACAATCGTGAAGTGGAACGAAACTTATTGGATAATTTAAACTTTAAAAAAAAAAAATTTAAAACTGAAAAGTGGGGCGTGCAATATTATTCGGCCCCTTTACTTTCAGTGCAGCAAACTCACTCCAGAAGTTCAGTGAGGATCTTTGAATGATCCAATGTTGTCCTAAATGACTGATGATGATAAATAGAATGCACCTGTGTGTAATCAAGTCTCCGTATAAATGCACCTGCTCTTTGATAGTCTCAGGGTTCTGTTTAAAGCGCAGAGAGAACCATGAAGACAAAGGAACACACCAGGCAGGTCCGAGAAACTGTTGTGGAGAAGTTTAAAGCCGGATTTGGATACAAAAAGATTTCCCAAGCTTTAAACATCTCAAGGAGCACTGTGCAAGCAGTTATATTGAAATGGAAGGAGTATCAAACCACTGCAAATCTACCAAGACCCGGCCGTCCCTCCAAGCTTTCATCCCAAACAAGGAGAAGACTGATCAGAGATGCAGACAAGAGGCCCATGATCACTCTGGATGAACTGCAGATAACTACAGCTGAGGTGGGAGAGTCTGTCCATAGGACAACAATCAGTCGTGCACTGCACAAATCTGGCCTTTATGGAAGAGTGGCCATTTCTCAAAGATATCCAATAAAAGTCTCTTAAAGTTTGCCACAAGCCACCTGGGAGACACACCAAACATGTGGAAGAAGGTGCTCTGGTCAGATGAAACCAAACTCGAACTTTTTGGCCACAATGCAAAACGATATGTTTGGCGTAAAAGCAACACAGCTCATCACCCTGAACACACCATCCCCACCTCAGCTGTAGTTATCTGCAGTTCATCCAGAGTGATCATGGGCCTCTTGGCTGTATCTCTGATCAGTCTTCTCCTTGTTTGAGATGAAAGTTTGGAGGGACGGCCGGGTCTTGGTAAATTTGCAGTGGTCTGATACTCCTTCCATTTCAATATAATTGCTTGCACAGTGCTCCTTGAGATGTTTAAAGCTTGGGAAATATTTTTGTATCCAAATCTGGCTT